ACAGAGTTTAGATTAGGTATAAATAGTATCTAATAACAATTTGATTTGTTTGAAGCTGTAGTGTTTTTCTCAGGCATATTATAAGATTTTTTTAAGATGCCTTCAAAAACTAGAAATAGATTTACATTTGTTTGTGTTGGGTTAGGTAGCACCCTGCTGAAGATGTAAAGATGATTAACATTACTTCTGATGTTCACTTCTACCCCAAAAGTTGTACATCCACTTTATAAGTCAGTCTGGAAATATTTATAGAACCTGAACTCCTCATAAAAGTAACAATTGTAGTTTTAAAATGTCTTGTAGTGTGCAGTCTACAGATTTTCAGGATTAAATTGATGAGGTAAGAAGCTGGCACCAAAGTCATTGCTTAAAAATCTTTGTACAAAAAACTCTAACTCCCTGTAGCTTTGATTCTCTAAGTAATCTGTAGTAAAGTTTCTTATTTTATTCCTGAAAATCAGAATTCTTCACATCAAACTGTCTTATGTAGGGCAATTGCTTGAGTTGGACTTAATATGTTTCATTATGAATTCTGCATTATATATTGTTGACCTTTTCATGTTAGAAAATGAACCTACTGACAGTGGTTATCCATATGTGTATGTAAGTATGTGGAAGAGACTAATGTACTTCTAAAACAGGCTTCTTTCTGTATATCTTATGAAAAGATCCTGACCACTGATGTTTTAAAAAATTTAAATGAAGTATAGTTGATTTACAGTGTTGTTAATTTCTGCTGTATAGCAAAGGGACTCAGTTATACATCTATATATACATTCTTTTTCATATTCTTTTTCATTATGGTTTATTATAGGATATTGAGTATAGTTCCCTGTGCTATACAGTAGGACTGTGCTGTACAGTGTTGTTTATCCATTATATTTAACAGTTTGCATCTGCTAATCCCAAACTCCCAGTCCATCCCATCCCCACCCCCCTCCCCCTTGGGAACCACAAGTCTGTTCTCTATGTCTGTTTGTTATTTTTTTTCCTAGAAATCTTAGTGATTTATTTTATTTAAAAAATTTTTTATTGGAGCATAGTTGCTTTACAATGTTGTGTTACTTTCTGCTGTCTGTTGACCATGGATCTTTTTATTACTACTACTGCTGCTGCTGCTGCTGTGTTTATTGGGCACTTATTATGTGCTAGGCATTGTCCTAGGTCTTTAGATATACTAGCACATTCATTTCTCATAACAACCCACTGAATAAGTACTATTACCATCCCCAGACAAGAGAGGAAGAAACATGTATAGACAGGTTAATTAACTCTGCCAGGGTCATAGAGCCAGCAAGTGGGAGAGCCAGAACCCTTCGTGGTTGGGTTCCAGAACCCATGCTTCTACCAGCCTACAGTGCTGCTACCACTAGTGCACTGACCCTTTTGTGATAGCCCTCTGTATATTGCTTATTCCCTCATTAGGAAACTAGTTTGGAGAGGATAGAGAATTATATAAAATATACTGTCATAATTATAGTGTGAATTTCAGTGAACTTTCCTTGACTTATAAAATTGGACCTCATGTGTCCAAGTTTCACATGATTTCATGTGGAACTTCAATAGTGTGAAATGTCTATTGGATCAACTTTTATGAGGGTATTAGAGAAAGGCAGTGATTAACTCCTGAGCTCAACTCAGATGCAGATACAGGAGTACATGTGTAAGCCACCAAGCAGCAGTAAGAATGACTTAGTGAAGAAGTGGGCGCAGGACACAGCAGAGCTGCCGGTAAGTATGACTTTGATCTTCTTCAGTGCTGATTATTCAGAGAACCAGCATTAGTCCATGAATGTTAGCTTGGTAAACTTTAAATGACCATGTGTAATGCGGGGGTATATGTTCAGAAAACTGATTTGGAGAGAAAGTAGACATTAGCAACTGTCGTATCTAGACAATCAGAATTGTTTATATCGACAAAGCAATTTTCGTGACCTGGCTCCACATCGGTGTCAGAGACCATGTAAACTATATATTTCTTCTTAATGTTTTAATAGAAAAGAACCTGAGAGTACAAGTCCCAGGTGACTTCAGTATACGTGAACAAATCGAGATAGTATGAAAAACATACTCAATATAAGTGGATTCATTTAATATATTACAAACCCTTGAGCATATTGAATTTTAAGACAGTATCTTTCACGGCAATAGTAATAATAGTAACAACCACCACCACCACACAACTCCTCACATTTACTGTGAATCAGGAGAGTGCTTTATGTGCATTATCTTATTTAACCCTCAACCGCCCTGTGAGGTAGTCACTGTGTTACTTCCATCTCACAGATGAGAAAACAGAGGAAAAGAGAGGATTAGTTACACGCATGAGGTTGTGCAACTAGCAAGCATTGTTTGTTCATTCAGTATTTGTTGAGTGTACCTGGCCCTATTCTAGGTAGTGGGGAATTAGCAATGAGTATAAAAAAATCTCTGCTTTCATAGAAGGACTTTACGTTCCATAAGGGAGCTAAACAAGAAACAGAGAAACATGGAAACACAGAATGAATCAGATGGTAATACGAATTATGCAGGACACTAAAACCATGTGAGGGAGAAGGGTATGCTGGAATAAATTGCTGGGGTGGGCTGTCGTTACTCTTTTACACGGGTGGTGAGGGTGACATCTCAGCAGACATCTGAAGAGAGAGAGGGATGTTGGTAGGAAGAGCATTCCTGGCAAAGGAGGGAAAGAGTTCCCTGTGCTTGGAGTGCCTGCGAAGGCTCAAAGGGGCCATGGAGCTGCTGTGGGTGAAGGGAGAACGGTGGGATTTGAACTCAGATTTATCTGACCCCAGGACCCATATTTTAACCATTACAGTAGTCTGATGGGGCAACCACAGCATTAGCTGACATACTGTGATCTTGGAGACACTGTATTATTCTCGTGGAAAAGAGGGCGGCAGTAAAGTTCTACTCTAGAGGTTCTGTATGTAGAGTTGAGAGTATAGAAGAAATCCCTGTGGCTTGGGGTGCTTTGGATAATAAAAGTAGGGAATGATTGTAGACCATAAATTTGGGAAACTGGGAGGAGTGTACCTCCCCTGCTCAAAATTCCTCAGTGGTTCTCCATTGCCTTCAGAGCTTTAGAGAAATTAAGTAACTCTCCCAAAGCCCCATAGCAAATAGACCTAGCTTTGAAAAGAATTTTTTTTTCTTATTGTAGTGTAGTTGATTTACAATATTGTGTTAGTTTCAGATGTACAGCAAAGTGATTCAGTTATATATATATATTTTTCAGATTATTTTCCATTATAAGTTATTACAAGTTGTTGAATGTTGTTCCCTGTGCAATATGTAAATCCTTGTTGCTTATCTATTTTATATATAGTGGTGTGTATCTGTTAATCCCATAGTCCTATTTTATCTCTCCCCCTCTTCCCTTTCCCCTTTGGTAACCATAAGTTTGTTTTCTAGGTTTGTGGGTCTGTTTCTGTTTTGTAAATAGACTCATTTGTATTATTTTTTAGATTCCACTTATAAGTATAGACCTAGTTTTGAGTGATGATAAAGACTTTGTTCATGACTGCTGAACTATGCTACCCTTCTCAGAAAGTGAAATCAATCTCATGTTGATTGGCTGCTCATCACTTACAGACTGAAGTCAACAAGCCTTGGCAAGGAAGGCAGGGCCCTTCTAGAGTAGCTCCCACCGTCTCTTTTACACTTACTTCTACTGCCTCTCCCCTTCCACCTTAGCATGGAGCAACTTTGCTTACATGTCTGTCTCTTCTTCCAGACAATAAATCATTGAAAGCTTTTGCCCTGTTTTGTTCTATATTCCAACCACAGAGAATAGGACTTGGCATGCAGTTACCTGCTCATTTAAATTAAACTTAGAATATTAATTTTAATATTAATGATGACAGTTTTGGTCAGATCAAAAGAAGTGGAATATGTTGAGCAGTGATGTTAGTTAACGCAGAAAAAATAGATGATAATAATAACCTTTCTTTAAGTAGTAGTTTTTATTATGTGTCAGACATTAAACTCAGTCTGAAATACATCATTCCGAATCAAATTCAAATGTGAAAGATAAACCTTATTAGGTATAATTTTAGAGCTAAAGTAATATCTTATTAGATACAACTTTTAAGATAAAACTTTAAAAAATGTATTAATTTTTAAACTATTGCTAACTGGATAGTAGGAGGTGTTTCTGGAGATTTAAGTAGAGGAAAATGTCCTTAGAAAGGGAAAGAAGTCATCTTTGTTTCTTTGTACTCAGTTTTTAAAACGTTACTACAAATGTGTATACTTGGCTACATGCAGAGATCTTCCGGAAAGAACACTGTACTCATTTATAATGGGGATGTGGCACGTTGGGTGAGACAGAGGGCTGTTGGAGAAGTGAGTCCAGATGAGACCCTGCATAATGCCCTGCTTCGTACTCTTATCAACGGTTAATTGTAAGGGCTTTGTCAGTGCCGTCCTTCCAACCCAAGGCCCAAAGTGGGCTACTTAAGGCCATCGTTTCATAGCCTAATTCCTGATTGTCATTCACTAGGAAATCTACTTGTTAGGAATTCTGTTGAGTAATTTTTGAATAGAAATTCTCATTGCTGATTGCCTTCTGTTTCTCAGACAAGTACATTACCTGAAATTTATATGCTTGTAATCATTGATACATCATTTTTGGACATGTATTTAATTTTGGCTTACATAACATTTATATGTTACTCTAGCAATGTTCAGTTATACTCTGAAATACTTTTAAGTGCAAATTCTCAAAAAAAAATGTCATACAGTTTTCCCATACTTCTCATAGCACAGCATGCCCCCCCTTTTAGGTGGCTTGATTTTATTGTTTCCTTAATTTCTCAATATTTTGTGTTGATTAGAATGGGTGAGATGTTCTTTATTTAATCCTAATACTTAAAACTGTCAGTGGGAAGAACTACATTAGTACTCAGAAAAGATGCTTAAGAAATTATTTTGCTCGCCGCCCTTTCCGTTATCCAGTAGAAATTTACCCTAAAGCTCTTTCTGTGGTTTTATTGCAGCGACCCCGCAGCCAAAGCCCTGTGGGAAGCCTTATTGAACACCAAGCACAAAGAGGCAGTGATGGAAGTCCGGAGACATCTAGTGGAAGCAGCAAGCAGAGAAAACCTGCCAATCAAGATGAGTATGGGTAAGTTATCCTCTTACCCACAGACAGTGACCGCCGGCTCTGAGGAAGTTCATTTAAGTCTGCTCTGATCTGTGGGCCTACCTAGCCAGCATGGCATCTAGGTAAAAGTATTGAAGACATTTGTAAACTGATGAAAGAGTAGGGAAGGAATTTATACACATGCCCTCGGGGCTCAACTGTGAGCTCTTTTCTTAGACTCAACTTTGGGAAGTCCAACAGAGTCCTTGCTTACAAGGCATCATGTTGTTAGTTATTTGATCTAGAACTCTCAAAATTGGTCTGAACTTCCTCCCCTTCATTCTGTCCCACTCCTACACCCCTGCCCCCACCTCCACACTTACTGTGGAGAAGTGATTGCTTATTAGTTTAGACTTGATGAATGAATGACCGTGCTGACAAATCAGTTGAGGAGATGGACATGTTCTGTCCCGGCCTCTCACCCTTAGAGTGGTCTGCCGATTGTCTGGTCACATCAGTGTTACCCCTTCTTCACCACAGTATGAAATGCCTGATTTTTCTCATTTCCTTTTTTTTTTTCACATGGAGCTTTGTCCTTAGTATTAGAAAAATGGGGCTGCAATGGAATTTAAATTTTAAATGGCTTTTTTCTTTGGATTAAAAAGTCAGAGAACTAATGTTTTTATTGGAGAAAAGGAATCTGGGGTTTTACCCTTTTTAAATTAAATAATTTTATTAGTATGGAAATATTTAAATATGGATATTGAATCTGGTTTTAATAGGTAGAATTTATTTCTGGAAACTTGTAAAAGTTTATTTCTCTATTTAAAAAATAAGGTTTCTCTTATAATCTGCTCTTAGGTATCCAATAGATATTAGTACATTTTACTAGATGGGTAAATTTTTCTTGCTGCGATTTCTCACCCAAATTCTTGATTCCTAATGAGTACAAAAAAAATCAAACTGTCAAGTTGAAATAGAAGAACAAAATTTTGGAAGTAAAAGAATGTGGATGAACCTAGAAGGAAAAAAATTAGAGGGTTGTAATATGAACAAAAATCATAACTTTCAGTGTCTTAGGTGATTATATATGAGGGCTTTAAGGAACATGAAGGGTGATAAGAAAAGTGAAAATAACTAACATTTGTTGAGCACGTATGATGTGCCAGGTTTTCTTCTAACTCTTTACATGTGTTATTTAATCTTCACTGTAATTCTGGGACGGGTGCTATGAGTATCCCATTTTTCAGATAAAGAAGCTGGAATAGAGAAAAATTAAGTTGCCCAAACCCATACATCTGATAAGGAGTAGGACTGGAATTCAAATCTAGACATTCTAATGTGAGAGAATATGCTTTTTATTTATAAAATTATCCTAACTTCATACAACCAAGGCCAGAGTCCTACATGTTGTTTTGAAGTAGAAATAAAGTTGTTTCTTTGAGATCATCCTGGCATTCGACTATAATTCTTGTATCTTTCTCTCCTTCCTCCCTCCCTCCCCTCTCACTTTCTTTCTTTCTTCCTTTCCTTTCCTTTTTTCTTTCCTTTTCTCTTCTTTCCACAGTTATAGGTACACATTAATAACATATGTTTACCTAAAATATTTCCTTATCTGTGAATACGTTGAAATAAGAACTAATTCACATCATGAATAGAGAAAAGTAGGAATGCGCAAAGGGTCTGGGTGATAAGGTTAATTTATATTGCATTTCAGTGATAAAACCTTATGATGCTATCACAGAGCATAAATCAGTTTTTATTGCTCAATCAATGCAGGACTCTTGAAAGATCAAAACACTTTACATTTCTAAAGCTCTGTATCTTTTAAAAATAATCAGAGCCAGGAAAAAAAAAAAAGCGGGTAGCCCCATAAGGAATTCAATTTAAATATTTGAGTTTTCTGTCAACCAAAAAAATTTTAGATAAGATGGTTTGATTTATCCCCAAGCTCCAGACATGGGGGAGGGTGAGGAGAGGAAAAATAAAAAAGAAGGAAAGAATCAGACAATTGTTAGCCAACTTTGTTGTAAGAAGGACCAAAAAGATTGGCCCAAATCTTATTCTATCTGTGTGCCAACTATAATTTAGTAAAAGATAACACACTGTGGCTATGCATTTCTGCTTCATATCACTGGTCAGAATTTCTGGTGTGTCTCATTTCCATATACCAACAGATACATAACTATGAACAGTAAGGAAAAGGGCTGGAATTTAAACATAATAAAACATTGATATTTGAAATCTGCTTATCATTATAAAAAGAAAAATCATGCTCTGATATCCTAGATGGCTGGAATGCTTTTTCTAGCAGCATTTAAAGCTATGAAATGTACTTTAAACTATGCACTGTTCTCTCAACCCCTGCTGTAAATTCTACTGAAGTACACATTTTTCTGACTGTGATAGAGGCTTCTGGTATTTTTGAGACGTTAAAGAGATATTTTAATTCTAGATTGAAGACTTTTCTTATATTTAAATTCACTGGGAGGGATCCCATTATATAAAATTCCTCAGTAAAAGGTAAGTTAATATTAAAACATCACGAGCACCAAGAGAAATAAACATCATTCTCTTAGGGGAAAAAAGTTGAATTGCCAAAAGAAAGAAAAAAATTCATTTTATCATTTCACATATAAACATATGCCTTCTTTCCAAGAGATTGTTATTAAATTGTCAGTTAACTAAACATATATGTTCCAGAAAAGTGGTTTTTTAGAACATTGTAAACTGAATTGTATTTTTCCCACTGGCTTTTCATCATGGAAAATGTATTCTGAAAGTAAAAAACAAATGGACTCTAAGAAACCCATTTGTTTGGACCCAATATACTCACTCACAGAGTAAGATGCCCATCTCAATCTCTCCATTTACAGAGAATCTGTTCCTCTGGACTGACACTGTGGTTGGGGGATCTTCACCGGTTTTCCCATAGCTCTCTGCAGAGTGGCTATATCTAATGGCTGGCAGAAAGAGCCTATTAGGGCTAAAGTGAAACAGATCTCTTTATGACACTGTTCTTTGTTCTGCAGCCAGATTTTTTGAAAAAGTATTCTATGCTCAACGCCTGTTTCTTTATTATTTTCTTGCTTATTAATGTAGTGTAGTCTGGCTTCTGGTACTTTTTTGCTGACAAGTCCTCTGGGCTACTAAATATAAGGGCGTTTTTCTCAGCCCTCATTCTTCTTCATTTCTTTGCGATATTCACTACCAGATTGTCACCACTTTCTTGTACATCCCTCTCTGTTTTCTGGGACTTCTGGCTCTCCTGATTGTGATGGAGTGCAAAGTCAGTTACACATGGAGGTGAATCACAGTTCTGCTACTTATTAGCCAAATTTCAATTTATTTATCCATAAAAATGGGGAAACTGTGTCCTGGAATTTTGAAGGAGAAAGAAAGCTCTGAGCAGAGTGAAGATTATGATTATCAGGCAAACTGGAATTGGTGTGCTGCAGTTATATTCTATCTGTGGGGAGACCTACATGGGAAGCTATATTATAAGAGGGTTGTAAAATCAAAACAAACAAATCAAATTAGATGATTTCCCCCTTTCTTTCTTGGAAATGTACCAATTCATTCTTTCCACTTAAGTTGTCCTTTTCTAGCCTTTATGCTGAATATTTCCCTTTTGATAACGCATTCTTTCTTTAAGCAGAATTCTAAATAGTTTTTCCATTTTCAGCTTAGTCATTACCTCTTCCCTGACTCTGTTCACCCCCCCAAATCACCTTGGCTGTATTTGGGATTCCCAAGCCTCTGTGGTCACACTTTTACAGGAAAATCTCTTGAGCTACGTTTCCAGATGATAATCTGATCCATTGCGTTGTGAAGCTTCTGAATTTACTCTCCTTGTTTGGCAGCACTGGAGTGTTAGCTCCACATAATCACCATCAGTGTCTCTCTTCCATGTGAAATGTGATGAGTGTTTTCAACCATTTGTGAAAAGACTAGCCTTTAATCAACACATTTTCTAGTTCTGAGCCACTGACAAAGTTCTAGTTTGTTAATGTCCATCCTAAAATGTGATGTCCAGAGCTGAGTAAAGATGTGTTGTTCTTTGCCTCTTTTTGGACACCATACTTCTCTTAATGAAGTCCCAGATGAAATTAGTGATTTTTGCTTCCCACCAATGCCACACCCACTATCATTTCCTACTTTTACGGCTTTGAAAAATAGCTTAAATCAAAACACTAAAATTTTATTCAAGGTATACTTTTTTCAACATTATTGAGAGTACTCTGCTTCCTACTATTGGTATTGAGTTCATCCAGTTCTGTGTTTTGATCACATTTATATCTTTTGCCTTCATTGTGGAGAATTTTGTTTGAGATTAAGGGGAACATGTATGCATACACATCCATGTGTACGTGCATGTGTGAACTGGGTGTGGAGATTGTGAAACTTTACAAAATGGATAGGTTAAAACCTAATAAGACTAACGTACCATTTGATATATGGTAATTGATAAGAGATAAGAAAATCTGGATGCCTCATAGGGAACATGCACTGTTGAACTCTCACATATCCTTGTCTTCACGTATTAGCTCTTGCCACAGTTTGGGGAATGAGGAAGGGAATTGACTTTTATTGGATAGCTACTTTGTTTCAGGCATTATAACAAGTTTACATAGTTTGTTTCATTTAATCCTCCCAGTAGTCTTGTCAATTTGGTACTCTTCCCCCCCTCCCCAGATCTCAACCCACCCTTCTGCTCTGCGGTGCTGGGGCTGGCACTGTGCAGACCACATTCTGCTCTTCAGCTGGCTTCCTGGTGGGCTACACTGATGAGGGGTGCCAGAGGGAAACTGCAAGGCTGGAAGGGGAAGAAGCAACTTGCCTCTTTCCCCCTGCTGCCTGTGGATTTTGCTTCCGCTTGTCAGTGTCATGCCATCAACACTTCTTCACCCCAGCAGTGACAGGTCCTTCCTGTGGGAGCAACGGAATCCAGTTTGCAGTTCTTCTAGTACTTGCAGAACCAGCTTCATGGCACCCCCTCCTCAGAGGTACCAGCCTAGCCAAGTAGCACTCTGTTCTCAAGA